TTTAAATTATTGGAACAAGATATGAAATTTTAATTCTTTCCAGTCCTTTGTGTCTTTGTAGTACTGTCTCTTAGCATAGTGCTTGAACATGGCAGGACACTGTAGTGAAGTGGCTAAGAGGCTGGGCCTTGATACTTCCCAGCTGTGCAGTCTTGGGCAAGTTACTTAACTAAGAATAACAGAACCCATTTCAAAACTGTGCAGATTGAATTGTGTACTCCTAGTAAAAGTATTTAGCAGCTCCTGTAACAAAGATAACATTTAACAAAAGTTGGTTGTTATCATTATGTAGACAGTAAATATTAAGTGAAGAAAAAGATTGCCAACAATGTTATTATTTAAATATATTTCATCTTTCTTAATTTGGGTTCAAATATCATAGATGAGTAACTTTTGGTTTTCTTTAAAACATATTGGTAAGGACTATAATCTTGTTTTGCAGATGCTGTTTTCGCAGGTGCCATGCCTACAATGGCAAGTGTCAAGCTCTCCACTCTTCACCCCATTGTGAATCACCCACATTATGAGGATGCAGACTTGAGGTGGGAACCTACAGAACACTTCAACCAGATGCACTGGCAACTTCTACTGACTCAGGAATAGGGACAGTTTTTACATACACACACACACACACACACACACACACACACACACACTCTCATCCTCATATTCATGCCAGAAGTTTAAAAATGTATAATAACCATCCAGAAATTACAGTATGTACCTGTTGACCTAAAGCAACCTTAGTAAACCTCTGAAAACTAAGAAAAGCAAAAGGTGATTTTGCTCAAAGTGAAAAACTGTGTCACATTTATGAGTCGCCTCTGTGTGTTTCTGCGGGTGTGTGCATTCTAGTACAACTCCTAGGTAGTAGTGATAAGAAGAGGGATGGATTTGGCTCATGGCCGTAGTTTGCCAGCCGCTGCTCTAGATTCCACAAGCCATCTGCCTGATTTAAGAAACCATTCTTGATCCTACTGGTGGCCAATGACTAGCCTTTTTTTAACAGACAGAAACAGTACATGAAATTTGCTATATTAAGTGCTTTTATGAAAATTTCGGGTGCTCTTTTGCTAGCTGATGATGAGAATTTTAGTTTCCACTGGGGTCTGAAAGTTTTGCTTTCCTTAAATGACTGACTTTAAAAAAATTATTTTAATCATTCTAGTAATTGTCAAGATAAGCATTTTCTTTTAATGTGTTTTTGGCCTATTATTAGAGGTAAAATTTTAAATTATTTAAAGTTTTATGTCTGGTTGTGGAGATAGGCATCCCACATGCTTAAAATTCTAAGAAAAGTCTAATGCATAACTGGTAATTTGTTCAGGATTTTATAAACTCCCATTTAGGGTTAAATCATCTGTTGTACCATATTTTGGTAAATATCCTTGTCTCTCAAGCTTCTGTTAAGTTGCTTTCTCTACCTGACTGCTACCTAGATGTCCACTGTTTAATTTTTCTATTTGCTACATTCAGCTTGAACATGTATGCTTTTCAGAGCTTCTAAAGACGAGCTTATGTACTGAAATCTGTATTTTTATTATGTTTGGCTCCTATCTGAATGTGTTCCAGATTCATTACAACTTATGCAAAGCAAATTTTATGTTCTGAACTGTTATGCTGCTACCTGTGTCTAGGCTCTAAATTGGTTTATACGCTAAAAATCACTACCTGCACAATTCAAATTGCTGTAAGTTTTGGCACATGCAAAATATAAGTAGGAATGTGGAAATTGCTATCCCCAAAATAATTCATGCTGCTTGGGGTCATATATAACTGTGCTCTATCCGGTAAGCACTGAGATTTTAATTTGCTAGCAGAATTTCTTTAGTCTATTCTATTATCATTTATGTAAAAAAAACTTAACTTCTTTGAATTTAAAGGGCTCGGACAAAAATAGTTTATTCTGCATATAGTCGAAAACCTGCCAAAGAAGTGAGAGATAAGTTGTTGGAGTTACACGTGAATTACTACATTTTAGAGGAGGCATGGTGTGTTGTGAGAACTAAGTGAGTATGAGCCCTATGCTATATGATACGGTCTATTTTTAGGCAGCAAATGTTTTACTTTATTACAGCAGTCATGATTCTTTAAGAATTTTCATTTTAAATTAATTCCATTAAATTTTACTCTGGTGTTTTATTTGTTTATTTGTTTTTATTTTTATATTTTTTAATAGAGGTACTGAGGATTGAACCCAGGGCCTCATGCATACTACGCATGTGCTCTGCCACTCACTGAGCTATACCCTCCCCCCAACCCTGGTATTTTATTTAAAATTATTTCATGTAGGAAAGTAAAATTATACTATTACTTGAGTATAATCAAATTTCAAAAATTACAGCGTACTTTAGTATCCTAATTTTTTTCATTTTAATTTTGACATCTTAAATGTAGCTCTTTTCCATAATTTTCACATTTTTATGGTAACTTTTATTAGATGTATGAAATACAGATTTGAATTTACAACAAAGTGAGGTATTGGCATTCTACTACTAAAGCTGGATTACAGTGGATTTATAGGACTCATAAGAAAAGTTTCACATAATTCAAAAAGACGTAGTAAGACAACATTTCTAATTAAAATATTTTAGTCTCTAAATTTTGAATCTCTAGAAGTACATAATATTCTAAGATGTGTAACGGGTATCTTGAAGCCTTTCTTTAGTCTCCTTGACTTAAGAAGTCCTTAATTGTATTAATTTTAACATTAAGAATTTTCATTTCTCTCATAGATAATTAAGAATTGGCTATAATAGATTTTTGAAGAGCGAAGTTTAGAAATTTTAGTAGCTAATTTTTGTATCTAATTTTCATATATAATATATATATAT